TCTTTTTTGAGATAATTTAATTAACAACTCTTATTATGTGTATATATATATATATATATATATATATATATATATATATATATATATATATATATATATATATATATATAAAATAAATTGAATTAATGATTTTCGAAGACATCTTCTTAATTGGGATGGGACCACCTGGATTCAGACTTGACGGTAACTAAATGCCCATGCTTGGCTGACTCATGGATTAACTCGCGACCCATTCGTATAGCAGGTGTAACAACCTTGAATTTTATTTAAGAAAAAAAAAAAAAAAGAGAGAGTATATATATATGTAATAATAGTTTGAATAAATGCTTTTAATATTTTAAAATTTAAACTCTAGGCGATCAAGTAATAACTTTATGTAAAAGTCACTAACTTATTTCTCCATATCTAGGTGGTGTTTGCAAAAGCTTATCTAAATGTATAAGTTTGTGATTGAAAGTTAAGTTGATATTAAATGCTTAATTCTAAAAGTTCGGATATTTACAAAAAAATTGAAAAATCAACTAAAATAGAAAAAACAGATACATGGTGCTTTTAAAGTTATGCTTAAAGCATCTTATTTTAACAGAAGAAAAAGTAAAAGTATATTTTCCAAACACCAAAAAATAAATTATATGTAAAGAAAAGCTAATAATCTATTTTTAAAAGCTTTTCCTAACACCACCTTAAGCATCGTGAAATCTTACGGTGGACAATTCCACTCTCTTTCACTTTCAATATCTCACGGCCCGCGCTTAATCAAAAGGATTAAGGTGTTGTTTGCAAAAGCTTATTTAAAAGCAGAAGTTATGGATTGTGAGTTAAGTTCATTTTAAGGTGATGAAATCGAAAGACTACATAGGCTTTCCAGGCCGACTACAATACAAGTCATGAACGATAGCGAAGCCAAGCCGGATAGGCTTTTTTATGTTGAAAGCCCCAAAACTGGCTATCTTATAGCAGACAACTAACGCAAGCCTACTCAACTAATTTAATAAGTAAAGGCCTGTTCCCATCGCAAACTAATAGAAAAAAACAACTACTAGACTAGACTAGTAGTTGAGTGCTCCTTGTTCTTCGGATCTTGACCGGATCCCCGAGGGCATGGAATGTCTAATTTTTTTGTCAGAATCTCCACAGTAATGTCTCTATTAGATTCTCCGGTCGAAATACGGGAAAACTCTATTCAATTCTCGATGGAAACGGAGTTTTGCGAATTCTCCCCAGAACTGGAAGATCATTTCGAGATCTTCGAACATATTCGAGGGTTCAACGTGAGTGCTTATTTCTAAAAGTTTGGGGTGTTTGCAGATTTACTGGAAAACCAACTTAAATAGAAAAAACAGGGTCATGAGTGCTTAATAAATTATAGCTTAAAACTGTTTATTTTAAGAGAAGCAAAAGCAAAAGTTGTTTTTGCAAATACCTAAAAAGAAATTATATGAGAAAAAAAAACTCATAATTTATTTCTAAAAGCTTTTGCAAACATCACCTAAGTGTTAAATGAGTTTTTTATGGTCATACATAGGGGTGAAAGTCGAATGGATCGGATCGGAATTAGCCTTTTCGGAAAATTTCCAAAAAAATTCGGAAGTACAAAATCAATTCCAATTCCAATTCCAAAATTTTCGGAATCTAAAAATTCATTCCAATTCCAAAAGGCCCGGAAATTTCGGAATTTCAGAAAAAAATCGGAAATCACATAAGCTTTAAAATTTCAAATTTTAGCCGAAATTTTCTAAAATGTTCATAATTTTTCGAAAATGAGAGCATCCACGTCGATAAAAGTAAAACTAATAACTACTAAATTTCAGCTCAAAAAAATAAATAAAAATAAACACAGCGTAATATCCAATAAAACTTCTAACAACAATTCATTATGCCAAAATTCTAAAACAAAACTTATAGGTGTATTTTTCGGAAAATAAGTATTATATAATATATACTATTTATAGGTGTATTTTTTGGAAAAAGATCGGAAATTTTCGGAATTAATTTCGGAATTAAATCGGATCGGAAATCGGAAATTCCAAATTTATTTTATATAATTCCAATTCCAATCCAAAAAAATCGGAAAAATTCGGAAATCGGAATTTCGGAAGTCGGAATGAAAAAAATTGTTCCAAAATCGGAACTTTTCGGATCGGAACCGGCGGAAATTGGAAAATCCGTTCCAACTTGCACCCCTAGTCATACACAATGAGAAATAAATAGGCCGCATACTAATTTTATTAAGTGTAAGGTCAAAGTAAAATTTTCAATATAGATAAACTATAATACCACTACTGTTAAAAACTAAAATAAAAATCGATGCAATACCATAAACTAAAAAACTACAAAATTGCAAGATCAAGTTTTCATCTTCACCATATTCCAAGACCCACAAAAATCTTTAAGGGTAAGTGTGAAGTTAAAAGACATCAAAATGATTTTTTTTTACTGTGATAGCAACCCACGGATATATACATTTATATGTTTTATTAGCTAGGTTATCACTTTTGAAAAAAAAAATTGCGCACGCACGATTCGACATTTACATGTCGAATTTTATCCCCAAAACTCGACATTACCGAGTTTTGGGAAACAAGTTTATTTCGACATCTAAGCGTCGAATTTTGAGGGCAAAATAGGACATCTTAAAGTCAAGTTTTGGAGGCAAAATCTGACATGTAAATGTTGAATCGCATCTGCGCGGATTTTTTTTCAAAAACGATAACCCAACTAATAAAACATATAAATACATACCTCCGTGGATTATTCCACCTTAGAATCTTCCATTTTGATATGTTTTGACTCGATACTTGCCATCTTTGTAAGGTTTGTTGAGTTTTGAGGGTTTTGAATGTTCTGATTTTGTGAGTTTATGGAAGCGGAAGGAGAAAGATTTTTGTGGGTCTTGGAAAATGGGGAAAGATGCAAATTTGGTTTTGTGTTTTTGCGATTAAAATTTTGTGATTGCTTAATTTATGGCATTGCATTAATTTTGTTTTTTTTAATTTAAGGAAGGAGCGGCATTATAGTATTTGTACATAGATTTTTTTATTTTGGCCTTACACTTAATGGAATTAGTATTGTCAGTAGCCGCGTCCAAATAAATAATGGACAATTATATTGGGCTCTTTGAGGAAACCCCCTCATTACTTCTTTTAATAGAGAGAGGCCCAAAATATTTTTGTCCATTTGAGAAAAGTCCACACCCATTTTTAGTCATTATGTTTTCCAGCCTTGCCCCCCCACCCGCCACATCATCACTGTGTCATGCGCTCAGCCTTTTTTTTTTCTTTTTTGTCCGTTTTTTTTTTTTCCGTCTTTTCTGTATCAGTTTCCTTAATCGACTATGAAGCATAGTCGATTAGCCTTAATCGACTATGCTTCATAGTCGATTAAGGAAATTCTTTAATTTTTTAATTTTTTTTAATTTTTTTCTTTTCTATATCAGGTATATTAATCGACTATGATGAAGCATAGTCGATTAAGAATCTGCTACTAAACATAGCAAATCACAACTGCCAAAAAAATGCAAAAATCAACTATATTTTACAAAATACAAAAACTATACAAACATTGTAATTGATTTATACAATTGGAATCAAAAATGAAAAATTCAAAAATAAAATAAAAATGGGAGTTGATTGACCTTAATCGACTACCAGAGCATAGTCGATTAACTTAATCGACTATTGAAAACGTACATAGTCGATTAAGGTTCCAGCATGCGCGAATTTCTCTACCCGCGCCGTTATCCGTCCGATCCACCAAAAAACCCTAAATCTACCTCCCCATCGTCACCACACCCCCGCCACACCACTCTTTTTCAACCATAGTGGGAGTTATATCTCCCAATCTCCCAGTTTCAAGAACTGAAATCCTCCATTAACAACTTTATTGAAAAACTCCATTAAAATATAACTAGAAGAAAAGAGAGAAAATAAAACACAAAGAAGAGAGAAGATGAAGAATCTGGAAATTCATACTTTGTTCCCAATAAACTATAACCTTGTCAAAATCAACAGAAAATTCTGATAGATCTACTCACATTCATGACATATTTGCAGAAATTAATCTCAAAACAAATTGGGTGTTGTGTTTTTCTCTCATAATTTGTTACGCGATTTATTGTAAGAAAAAATAAAAATAAAAAAAGATATTAATGTGTATACGGCTTCAATCCTATTGATGATATGAGTGACGACCTTTTCTATTTGTACAAAGAAGAAGAAGAGGAAAAGGAGGGGAGAGAGGGAGAGTACAATAGAGAAGAAGAAGGTGAGGAAAAAAGAGTGAGAGAGAGTGTACAGTGAAAAGAAGAATATAAGGAAAATGAGGAGAGAGAAAGAAGAAATGTAGGTAGAGAATAAGAGAAGGAAAAATGAGGAGAGATTGGAAAATTAAGGATAATTTTGGAATTATGAAAATATCATTATTAGATGGGGAGATTTTCTCTAATTATTTTTTGGATGAGGTGTTTCCTTAACTACTTTTCCTAGATGAGGGGTTTATTACTAATTTTCCCGTATTGTATATATGATAAATAAGCAAATAGAATATTGCAAGGGAAAGCTATTATGAAGAGTGGATTTTCTAGACAAGGGAAAGCTATTATGAAGAGTGGATTTTCTAGACGAAAGAAAATGGTTGGTGAAGAAATTTTATAAACAAACGAGCCTCTATTTGTACATAAATCTACATTAGCATTTGTCATGCTATAGAATTCATGTCTTGACGCCCTATAGAATTCATGTCTTGACGCGTTTCACAAGATAAGCATATACTATTTGACGAAGACCTTTATTTGCTTCTTTCTTTCTTTTTTTTTTCTTTTTTTGCTGAAACGTCTACATTGTCTTGGAAATATACAAACAAGTCCCTATTCAACTAAAGTAGTCCTTATCAAAGAGAAATCATATTGATTGTTTTTAAATTTTATGTTTAATAAGCAGTATTTATTGCGTTTTGTCTTTTTTATGTTTTCTTTCTTCTAGATTTCCTAAATGCTCTATATCTAAAAATAACTATCAATTTATCATTCAAATACAAAAGGGACCAAATGAAAAGCGAAGCAATAATCCTCGTCAAAGCGAGTAACAGCAGCAAAATATAAGGCAACAACAATAATAATAATCCATTACCATCACTAAAAACAAAAGTTACAAATAAAAACAGAAATTCACATTCGCTTTCAGCCCATCCAATTTTTCTCTCAACGTCGTTCCGTCCTCGTTTCTCGCATATAATCGGAGACTTCACCAACTTTCCGATTCGGGTTTTCTTTAAAAGTTCTGCTAAAGAGAATGGTAAGGCACGTAGCCCAACGCCCCGGTCAGATTGTTTACTACATCACTGCACCTCGTGAGTAAATTGAGTAGCTCTTGTGAAATGTCATTTGTAGCAAGAGGAATATTAATTGGAATCTTTTGGAACTGATGATGATGCGGATGAATTTGACGATGACTAGTCGTAGTATTAGGCAAAGTAGGAGCATTAAACTTTGGCAAATTCTTACTACTCAAATCCATTGAATGTGTTGTATAAGAAGCAGAAGCAGAAGTAGTAGAAGAAGAAGAATCGGCCTCGGCAAAACTAGAAACTTGTTCGGTTTTACTACTTTTATCCCCACCCAAAATAAACTTTACACGAGGAGTATTACCTCTACCATTGCCATTACCACCTTCTTCACCACCAATAGGCTTCTTCAAGCACGACTTTAACTGCAACGACTGCTGACCTGGCGGCGGCGGCGGCAGCTGCTGCGTAGCGATTTTGGCAGGCGGTGTTCTTTGGTCAACATCTTCCTTTTGAACCTTGACCGGTGGTGGTTCTGATTCAGCCGCTTCGGCTTCAGAGTCCCTTAAGTAGCACTTCACATTTCTGCTTCCGAATAAATTGCTACTCCCTCGAGCGAATCTGAGAGCATCTTCTGCGTCGGCTTTGTAGTGGTAAACCAGACGGCATGCATACGTTTTCCAATACACTCGAGTAGACGCGTGATCCAACGGCCCAAAACGAGCGAATCTCGCCCTCAGCTCTGCGCCAGATGGAAGTGATGCACCAGATGGAAACTTCATCATTAGCATAGTCGGACTAAGCTGCTCCCTTTTGCCAGATGCACCAGATGGAAACTTTTTTACGGGTTTCGGCAATGATGGAAGATTTTTTTTCTCTGCAATTTCCTTCACTTTTCCTTCACTCGGCTTCTGGGCCTTCGTCTTATTCACATCCGATAATTTCGATTCGCTCATTATTATTTTCTTCTTCTTTTTCACGTCTTCTGAAACTACGAGCCTCTTCCTTTTGTTACTAGTATCTTCCGAGCCATCGATCTGCTGCTTCTTTTTCTTGATTGCTTCCGGACGATCGGACGGACCACGTTTCTTACCACCTCTGGTCGGATCATCGAGCCGTTTCATAAGCTTAACGGTTGACTTTTCATTCGTTTTGTCAACACCATCACGCAAATTAGAGGCAGGTAATTTAGTCAACTGGGCTTCACCTGTCTCATTCTCAGGTGGCGGGGATGAAACCAAGCTCTTCTGATACACAAGAGAACGGTATTTCAAGAAAACCAGTTGGGCATTTGCTGCACACTTTCTCTCCGCTCCATGAAAGGGATTGAGTGAAAGAGCTCTCAGGTCTCTAACTAGCTTCGTAAGCTCTGATTTGCCAAAGTCAACTCCTTGATTATCGAGCTGGTTATTAGCAGCAGTAAGGGGAACAACAGGTAGTGAAACTTTATCAACTTCTGCTTTATTGTCACTGTTAGCAAACGGTAACTGCACAGTTTCGGCATTGGCTTCACTTGTTACTTCTTTCTTTCTCTTCTTCTCAGGTTCGTCAGTGCTTATTTCTTTCTTTCTCTTCTTCTTCTTCGCAGCCATTGTTGCATTATCAGCACCCAATTCCCCACCGGTAGACCGCATATGTGCCTTGGCCTTTTTAATTCCACCTCCAACAAATTTCTTGGGACCTTCAGAAGGTTTGATATGACTGACCGATACAGAAGTCTGCTGCGTTTGACCTTTTATTTGGGAGTCAATTGGTGGCAGTCCGGATAATCCGGAACCATCTATTAAAAGCGGATCAGCAGAGGGACCTACTTGGCCTGAACTTTTTTTCTTGGTCTTCGTCTTAATTGGTTCTTCTCGTCGTTTGAATAGATACTTATCCTTCTGCGCTTGCTCCTTTGATTTAGCAGGTTTTGCAGAGCTAGTCTTCTTATTAAGGGGTTCAGCAATCACCAGTCGGCCACTCAAAGGAGCTACATAACATAAAAGAATAAAGAAGATGAGAAAACAACGAAAATGTAGAAAATCAGGTCAGATATATTGAAGAAAAAATGCAGAATATTGAAGAAAAAATGCAGATCACGGCAAAGTTGAAATGAGATGAGATTTCATTTAAATACCAAATATTTAGCAAACTAAGAGCCCACAAATTCAACAGTCTTGATCTACTGAACAAGAAAACCAAAAACTTGGTGCAAACTTGAATCTCAGCAATTATCTAGAATAAATCACAATGGCAAGCAACATCGGCAGAGAGAGAAACTTCATCAAATAAATCTACAACAAGAATGCTGAGTGAGAGTCGAATAGCAATTGATTCCTCAAATCATTAGCACATTTTTCACAGGTTCGTCATAGGGGAAGCAGACAATATTAGTGAAATGTGTAAACTTTCTCCAGCACAGTTCTTGCATGCTAGTTACTAAAAGAATTGCTGAAAAGGGAGTCTGGAGCCCTATCCAGTAGCAAGATTAAAAGGACTAGTCCATGAACATTGTTCTAAATTTTCTGTATAACAAACAATATAGCTAATAAGCTGAAATGGAGGGCAACTAAGGTTTTTTAGAGAAATTTCCCCTATAAAAAATGTGCCCCCCAGCGACATTTATAGAAGCCAACTAAAAGACAAGATCAACAGCACCTATACTCACAACTCACATATTTCGTCCTATTCCTTTGTAGATAATCTAAAAATCAAGACAAGTCTAAATGGATGGTAGAACTCATCCACTATGGATCAATAAAGTCAGCATTGACCTTCTAAATTATAATTCTGACCAGCATTAATGATATAGTTGATCTACAACAAATTATGTTGTAATGAGCATGAGATATGGTGGTGTGTTATTTGTGTGCAATAAACCGTTCGATCACAAGTTCCTGACTTTATATAATCGGGTTCATCTTCTCAAGTCTAAATCATTACATACAAATCATCTGCACTGCTTTACATTGATCAGTTCTCCGGCAGTACAAAGCTGAAAGATCATTATTACAGGACTTCGAATGACTTATTTCCTTTAAATATTTCATTCAATGTGGAAATGGTGTATTGAGCTTACCAGTATCTACAGTTGTAACAAACATTATTATTAGAATTATTAATGCTTCAACTCCTAGTGCATGAATCATTACTAATCATTTTAGTATTAGTTCTCTTCACATTATAGCTCCATCGGACTATAGTACCCTTCTAATTATGTGTCCTTGCTCTTCATCAAAAAATAGCAAATTTTAAGTGGCAAGGAAAAAGCATCACAAGGAAAATTACTGTTCGTCCTTCTCGACCCTCATACAAATAAGTTGAAAATGCTTGGTTTCCCCCCCACATTTCAAAACTATAGGCTATCAGCTTGTTGACTATAGTATTATCAGCTTACATGTCAAATTTTAAGTTACTTTCTAGATCCACAAAGAAAATTAAAAAATATATATCTTATAAAGCAACTTATGACACTTTTTCAGAACTTTAACCAGTATACCGTTAACCGATTAAGCCAATTCATGAACAAACCATCCCTTTGAAGGAACATTTCAGATAATAAACAAAGATAAAGGGACTCATAAATGTGTTTAAACCCCAAATTGGTCATCCAGTTGCAATAATAAGCTCACAAAATACGGATTCTGACATTCCGTGAGACCCTATGTTTAGCATTAACTTGATCTTTTTTATATAACTGATTGTATGTTCAGAAAATTAGATAATTACATAAAATGATAAAAATTAGAAAAATTAGAGAATATCCCAAAATGGAAGATCGGTCATGTCAAGCACATCTCCGAAAAGTCTGTTTCAATAGAAGGATGAATGAATATTGTAAAAACAGGTTACACTTTTTGGTTGCTTTCCAGAACTAGCTAACAATAGAGGTGAGGTGGTGGAATCATAAATGTACTAGATCACTAATTTGACATGATATTTGTATTCGAGTAAATAGAAAATATATTTTAATTTTACAGCAATAAACCAACAAAATTCAACTAGAACTGAATCTCCCTTTCATAACATCTTGTTTCTTTTTCTTCGAGCATTATCCTGGCAAACAAACACACCCTGGGACGGAGTTTTGAAATAGCCAAAATCTACATATCTGAACATCATCAACACAGGGTTGTACCAGTTCTCTAATTTGTTTATGTCTGATTGGTGAAAAAAAAAGTATGCACTGTCTAAGTTTGACATGTTGACTTAAAATTAGTACAAAATTGTCTACTCTTTATATATTAGGTTTCACTGGGATGGCTTTCTTTCTCAGTACAATGGATACTCTATTTTTTAACCAAATACCTCATGGTGACCTCAATGGGATATCTCTATTATGTTTTGTGCCTAATTGATTTACTTTGACTACACCATAAATTCCATATTTCCTCAATAGCATGTCCATAGTTATTTTCATCCCAAACCTTTAAAAGTTGTTATGCTATATTTTAAACTTTAGATAACCACATAAATCGAAGAGTTATATGTCATTAGAGAAGCATCTTGTTAACCAACCTTTACAACTGGTACTTCTCTCTTCACTTTATTCTAACTCTTGAATTTTCTTTCCACTCAGCAACCAATATGATACAACTCGACCAGTATTATAGTATCCTCTCCTCTATAATGAGATTAATGTTCCTTTCTTGACTCTGTATCATCTTGCCAACAAATAATTATCAATCAAAACCTTAACTGTAGAAATTAGGCTCATTAAAAAAGTACTCAAATTGAGTTTTGAGAGCAATACAATGCTATCGTGTTCAGCAATATGATAATATCTTGTCCCAAACAATATCAAGCGAATTAATTTCCATTTTTGCTGCTTTACATGCTCGTTGAAACATAAATAAGGCTCCACAAGAAATTCGAACGATAAGCAGACTGTGTGTGGTGCATTACTTATCTATTCTTTACACTGCAAGTAAGAGAAGTTGCACAAGAGTTTCACATCATCCGCATTTTTCCGGTTATCTCATTGAAAATCAATATAACCTGTTAACGCGTTGAAGAAGCTATGGGACTACTATATTCAACTGCTCTAGGGAGTGACTTGGAATGTTACACTTGTGTGAACTCATTTAATTACATAGCTGTCTAGTTGAATACATAAGATTACTATAAAGAACAAGAGAACTCGACATCGTCCATTGAAGGAGCATGTCCCGACTCATTAACCTAAATCCATTACACATTCTAACAGTCTACCTCTTATTTTCGCATGTTTCATAATTTTTTGGTAAAAAATGCACGTCCTATTTGATGCAATTTATATTCCTATATTCAATTATAAAAGGGGTTACTATTTTCCTTGTTAAGGCAAACAAGATTTTTAACGTGGCTGTTCGTGTTTTATAATGCGATATAAGAATTTCTTTTGGTGTAAAATAAAAAAACTATGATGTTCTATTCTAGTCTTCAATGAATGCATTATTTTGCAAATAGTATGAAGTAAATGAAATTCTTTCACACTTGTTTGTGTACTTTGAAAAGAAATAAAGATGCTAGCACAAAGCACTGGTCCACTCGATGTACACTTTCCTATGCCCCTCTATCACAGCAAATGCTTCGTATGCATATTAGCTTGTGTCTGGTATAACATTTCTAACACCATAAATAGATAGACAGCTTAGTATGTTCTGTGCATACTTGCAACCTGATTAAGGCAAACGGAAATTGAGACTATCTCCCATTCAAAATTAACCTCAGCAAATATTTTCGTAAAAAGTGATTCAGTCCACAAAAAAAAAACCAACTGGTAAATAAAACATGCCATGAGACAAGGACCAACTTTTGGTCGAAGCTAATATCAACAAATACAATGGTCGAGTTCAGCCAACATATATGCACAGACATTTAAAGCCTAAAATAATTCCCAATGGTACAGATAGATCAAACAAGTACCTAGCTTAAGATTATTGTGCATAGACAATCTCAATTATGCAATATTATAAAGCAAAAAACTTCTCTCGACTTTATTGGAATTACTTCATCTCCACAATATCTATTATCATAAAATAATACAAATAGCCAAATATAGATTTCATCAGAACAAAATATCAAACCCCACAAAGGTTGCAACATTAGACTTAGGTACAGCCTTCTAAGCATTAAGCCATGTAACATACATCAGCAGCTTTTCCAATACCATTGTGTCCACAATGTAATATACGACAATTTGAACAGGAAGCAAAGCAAATAAAACAAACTAAGTTCCTTGTATAACTTCTCATACCGCAGCAGTCACGTTTAGGAACATGTCTCCAACAGGAATCCTTTTATTTATTTCCTTTCTTGTGGTTGGAGTAAGTTATTCTACGACTTTATTTGCCATGGAATCGGGTAGGTCATTTAATTTGGGGATCTTTCAAACTGTTTTCAAGACAACTAATGACAAATTAGAGTAACTAGAGGTAAATTAACTTCTCAACCAAAAGGCAAGGCAAAGCTCACTCCCAATCAATTATTAAATTTCTCTAGTACAACAATGCTACCTTATCAACTGTGTAACGTGTCTTGCTCGTATGGTGTTACTGAAGCCAGCTTAATTAAAATATGTAGAGGCAATATTTAGCAGGAAAAATCAAAAATCACAAGACATTAAAAAATGATGGGTACAGAGATATTTCATACTGCATAGTACCAAAAAAAACTGCAGAAAATAAGTTCTCAGATGCATTCCAAATATAATAAAGAAAAATACCTTTAGATGGATCCATTGCCATTGGTGCAGTGGGCCGAGGAGGGCGCTCTGGTGCAGTTCCAAAAGCCTGTGCATATGTGTCATCAAACTCCTCGAACATTGCCTTCCTGCACGCCAAAACACTGGCCTTGTTCTTGATAAAGTCAATGGCGAACTCCTTGTCGTTCATGGATGTCAATGCCAATCGTTTGACAAAAGAAAGCATCTCTCTAGGCCGAAAACTCTCTCTCGCTTTATTTATCTGATTCAACGAGTAAACACCGGGCTCGTAAGCCCCCACATCCACGACAAAGTAGTCCTTGACATTCGACGGCCAGAAATTGAACTCGTTTCTACAGCGGCAGGCAAGCCCCAAGCTCCGTCTTCTTGACAACTCATCCACAGCTTCCTCCACCGCAATTGTGAAAGCCCGCGAAGAAGTCTGCGAGGACTTCTCCGCAAAATTCACTTCAAACGGAACCACCTCGGACAGGTCGAACCACCCATAGCTACTGTCCCCGAAGAACGCCACCAAGACATGACCCTCGCGCTTGCTTCTCCGAACAGTGGGAGATGCAAACGCCTCATTGTAAATGATTCCAGGCCACCATGGGTGCGATTTCACCTTACCCCAAACCATATCCCCAATTTGGTACCCATACCCAACAGCATCAGCCACTCCTTTAGCTGCAAACCGATCAAACTCTGATAAAATGGAATCGTAATCCTCCGACGCATAATTTACCTCCTTATCCTCGGAATTGCTCATTGTTTACCGGAGCGCCGCTGTAGCGGCCGGAGCGGGATTAGCGGAACCGGAGCGGAGGCCACCGCGACAAAGTTCCGGCATATAGCGGCTGCTGTGGCGTGTTCTGAAACCTAATAGAAGCGATTTATCAGCCGGAACGGCAATGTATGCGACTGAATCGTACCGCGGCGGCGATTAATCGGACGGAACGGGATAGAATCGGGGCTTCTGGCGGTGTTCGTGGTGTGACTGTGTTCTTCGTCGCGGCGGAAATGGGATTAGGGCTGGTGGACGCCGACAATTTTATATTTGTTCTGATTTCACTTTAGTTTTCAAACGTTTCAACTTAGTCCCTAGATTTTATGATTTCTATTAAAATTAAGAGATATGTTCAAAACTTACACTTTAACCACTAAATTGGAATTTTCTACATCTTTTCACCTTTTACAAATTTGAGGGGATTATTGTAATATTGATATAACATTATTTTGTTCATTGTAATATTATTTTATAAATTATTATATTACAATTTCAATATTAGTAATTTTAGGGCTGGGCATGGGTCAATTTTATCCGTCCAACCAATCCAATTTTTTTAGTCGATATTTTGTTTTTTGTCGGGCAGGGAAATTTAATCAATCCATTTATAAATAGGTTGGTCGGTGGTTTTAAGTTTAGTCGGTTGATCGAGTAATATCAGCCAACCGACTTTTTTAATAATAAAAATTATTATAAATATTTAATTGTAACTTTTTATTTTCTTAATGTTAAAAAATATATAAAATAAGTCAATTCAAAAACTGAAAACACAAGTATATAAATCTCTCTCTATTTTATAATTCTTATTTCATAGGATTTCTTATATATTTACTTATTGTAGAAGTTTAATAATAAAAAAAAGTTTTAATTTTAAAGTTAAGATTTTGGCAACATAAAAATTTCCAAAATTTTGAATGTCTTCTTAAAAAACACTTTAAAATGTCTAACTATTATATGAAAAAAATAAAAAATAAAAATCAATAAATAGATGGCCATAGTACCAACCAATTGACCCACTGTGTACCCGACAAGTTGGTCGTCACATTATCCAGCCCATAATAGTCGGGTCGGTAATGTTCAATATTTAGCAAAATCAGTTGATCGGATCGGATAAGTAATTCGCCGATAATTATCCAACCCAACCCATGCCCATCCTTGCGTAACTTATTATAATTTTTAAAACTAGTTTTAGCATTTTGATTAAAAAGTGCCCGTTTCGACCGCTAAATCCCCGTGACATTGCATTGTATCTGAAACGGCGGTCTCCGCAACAATGTCCGAACGTTACATTTTATATATATTCAGATTTCAAAAAATATGCATAAGATACATAAAACTTATAATAATAATGAATATTATAAATACTTTAACTATAAATTTGTACCAATTAGTATAATTTTATAAATTTAGCCTTTTATATGAATTTTAGAAATATGTAACTGTTGAATTTCGTAAACATTTTTTTAGAAAATTACACGTTAGATATATTTCATTCATTATAATTCGCATATACGGCGCTAGAAGCCGGGCCCGTTTGTGGACGCGCTATCAACCAAGTAGTACTGACCTGGACAATTAAATGATTTTTGAAGATAATATTTTAATTATAATTTGAATGTTACAAAGTGTATTATTAGGAAAAAATTATCATACCCGTGGGAGCCCTTAACCCATGTGGTTGAGTAATAGCATCCCGTAGGATTCTACTGTCAGACGCATAATTTGTTTGAAGAATGATTTTTTTTTATGGTGTGCCAATATATGCAAAAATATTGCAATGTTCTTCAAAACAAACCACAGACGGTTAAAAGTATCCATATTCATGAGTAAATGTTTTCGGCTGGTGCTATCACTTTGCGCAATTCTTTAATTGATGAGGAAGTCTATCTTTCAAGCTATAGGACCTAGGAAGAACGGCAACATTTGTCAATCTACGGCGTCCAACAGACTCACATAATTGTACAAACAACATAAGACTCAATCTTATGTCATTAACAATTTATGGCAAAGCAACATCAAATGGCTTTTTGTTGAGTATTCATGTCCATTCTTATCACACACATTCCCTGAATTTCACAACAATTAATATTACCAGCTAATAAATTTAGGGTCTATTAGATATAACCCCCTTAAACATTCAAATAATAGGGGTAGACCCAAATTTAAATTTACCATTTTGATAAAAGCCCAAGCTTTTCGTAATTACATAATTACCCTCAATCAAATCCCACAAATCTCGTTACTTTACCTTTTGAAATAATATCAAATCCCTTCCTATTTTCCCGCTAACACACTATCACCCCAAAACCCACTATCAAATAAACTGCAAAAACCTCCCAGAACCACTTCCCGGTACGGCCGATCGAAAGGGGAAGAAATCTGCACTGCCGTGAAACGACGATTTTCGTGGACTCCGAGCAAGCCGCCGTAGGTACGTCTTCGCCGGTCGCTGCATCGCTATCGTCCATCAATTTGTTCATATGTTTTGGCTAAATCGACTATCACGTTTGTATAATTGCAGATCTGTTATAATCGCATACCGAATTCGAGCACTAAATCATTGATATTGCAACAATTGATGGGCAGGACATCCACCAGAAGTGATATCGTCGTTGGCCGCCGTCGCCGTCGCCGTCACTGCTCCAATCTAGGGTTACTCAAATCTAGGATTACTCAAATCTAGGGTTTTGATAATTCTTCGGCCCATAGTTGATTAACGAGATGCATAGTCGAATTACATCTGTATTAATATACTATCCCATATCATTTAATAGACTATCCCACTGGTATAATTTTACTATGGATCTCGTTAATCGACTATGGGCCGAAAAATCATCAAAACCCTAGATTTGAGAAGTGACGGCGGCGGATTTGTGTTTTAAAATAAATATACTATCTCATATCTTTTAATAGACTATCCCATGTATCTAATTCGACTATTGGTTTAGTTAATTGACTATTGGAAAAATAATAATATATATGGAAACTGAATAATATGTTTGTTTGAAATACTAATCAATTAGGGTAATTTTCCTTATTATATGAAAACGATTAGGGTAAATAATAATATATATGAAAAAATAATAATATATATGGAAACTGAATAATATGTTTGTTTGAAATACTAATCAATTAGGGTAATTTTCCTTATATCATGTAATAGACTATCTTATTGATCTAATTCGACTATGGATCCCGTATTATTCAACCACATAGTATATTAATAATTTCAATATAGTACATTAATCTGCTATGATAGTATATTACGGTTATACTAGTGATATGAAATTGTGTTACAAACAATATACCACTGAAATGACAACATTGAGAACAACACCAACGTAAAGTATTCCACATAACCAATAAAATAGTACATTAATAATCTCATAATTTCAATCTATGGTTTTGATAAAATACATAAAACACATCATAACACAATCAAACCAATATGTCGAGTTAAAAAACTCTAGTACATTAATAATGTCATAATAGTATAATACAATGATAATGGTAGTATCATACGGTATTCATAATAGTATACTACTGTATTACAACGGTTTAACACTTAACCGAAGTTACCGAGCCATTACATCGTAAACATCTCTCTATAGCAACCAACCCACCAAACCTCAACAAAATCCGAACGAAATTCGCCATCGAAAAAACCTAAAATCATGAAACAAAATTAAAAATGCAGAATACTAAAAAATGATTAAATAGACTGCAAATACATTTGAATGATAATACATTAATATCATCAAAAATAAACTTAAAATGCAAAATCCATACGCTAAATTAAAAAAGACTACGAACTATATTTTAATGTACTACCCAACACACTTAAATCGGCTGTTATAAACAAATAAACCAACTATGGATCGGGATAAAAACATGAACTCGACCACAACGGACAATTATTCCGATTATTGCATAAACCAACTACGAAGCTCATATAAAACAACTCCGGTCCGATCTGCGTGAACCATCCTCTTCTAACTCTGTCAATCCTCTTCCAAACAAACATCATCGGCCAAAAAAAACGATATATATATATATGACGGAATAATTTTGTTAAAAAAACGTTCTACTTAATAGAATCAAGTATCAACACAACTCTTAAAAATTTCTAACCACCGTGCACGACAATCATGGACATTGAGCAAAAAATAAAAACGAATAACGCATTCATACCCGCTTAACAACGTCCAACAACAAACGCTAAAAAATCGATCATATTTCCACGACGGTGCAGAAATCTTCAAAGACGATAAAACCCGCTGGAACGATGAAGAGAATCTTCAAAAAATATTGTACACGATTTGATATAACGGCCAATGATCTCACGTAAATTTATTCCGTGATTTTAGGCAACGTATCAGCAAATCTCAAATCACGTATTAAAGGAAATAAATGCCGTTTAATAATAAAACAGGGGTATTAAAGGGAAATTATATAATATATTTTGCCAAGTTGGCAAAATTGGGTGTATCTCAAAAAAGGGAAAAAAAATTGGATCTACCTCATTAGAAAATATGAACAAGGGGGTTTTCCCTAATAAACCCATAAATTTATTTATTTTTTCAAAAAAGGAAATAACATATGATGTGCACACAGAAACAACAAACAAAAACATAGCAAGCACGAAACAAACATCATAAAGCACAACCTTAGTCAGATATATAGAGGAACTGGCAAGAACGGTCCCTGACAGTGTTAATGCCCACAATCTCATGCAAAAAAAATCGGTACCCAACACCAACCACAGTCCTGCAAATTTAACCAGATATGTATGGATGTAATGTGAATTTTGTAAGAAATCTATTCACAATCAAATGTACAATAAAACCAGCATCAGAACAATTACAGAAAAAAATTAGGTTGGGAATTTGATTTTTATACTTCTTTTCTTAATGTAAACAATGTTACCTTCCATTTCAAACATATGCCCGTAAATTCGAACAAACCTACAGGGAATTGTTGAAATCTAATGAATTGAAAAATTATACCGTCATAAGTTATATTTGAAAAAAAAAATGGATAAATAGGAATTGCGTACCGCTTGGAGAGATGATAGGGTTTACGATTATTTTGCTACAAAATTGTATATATATTTACCAAGCGTGTAAATATAAAATCAATTAGGGATATAAGTCGTCAATCTTACTATTTATTGTTTACGGACAATTCGGTAATTTTAATTTTCAACTGGATCGTAAGTTTTGTTGGATTCTCCAATATTACCTCCTTAGGCGAGATCCACAATCTATTGAAAACCGGATCTGAACTCGGGCCGGGGATCGATCCAGATACAAGTCTTC